CAAAGCAAAGTAACCGATCAATATTTCCTCGTTTTTCAAGTATCTTCAGAAAGAAACACTTTGTCCTTTATTCATCTTACAATAATATTTCACATATCTATAACTCCAGTGAATTATTCATATTAAGAAAATTACAGAAAAAAAAAGCTATTTCTGACAATATATCTATCTCATGATATTCAAATTGATATGCAATTTTACGTCACTAATATCTCTTTATCTACATTTTTGTCACGCTGAATCATTATGTTGAAAATGATATGCATTTTAACATATATAGCTATGCTTGTTAAGAAATAGATTGATAAATTTACAATGAGTCTGTTACTTTGAGGAGACGAATAATATTTTTCAAAAAAAATTAAAATAAGAAAAACAATTTGAAATATTGTCTCGATCTGTGATTTATTTATTCTTTTTTTTATATTTCATAATTATTTAGTCATTTCATATCCATAAATCATAAGTTGAAATGTCTAAGCATTCAACTGATATTAATCATCTATACATTGATTTAGTCAATAAGATTAACGATCGATATTAATATATTTGTGTGTGTATTATACGAAAAACGAAAAACTACAGAAATAGGACAATTCATCATTATCCTAATTATCTCACGAAAATACTACGAACACTAAAAGGAGGAAAAAAACGCACGCTGAATCATAAATAAAGACAAAAGCGAAAGCTTAAAGATAAGAAGAACAAATGACAAAAATGTTTAAACATTTGGCACTTGTTGATATGCTGAGTGTGGTGATAAAGCTTTGGTTTCTACTTCTTTTGTTGTTGTAGTGGTGCCAGTCGTTGTTGATCGTTTGTTTTTCTTAAGTTTTTTTGTAATAATGAAAAAGAGGAGAACAAGAATAATACCAATGATAAAGAAGGTAATAAGACCGATTAATAATACCTTGCTCCAATAGCATGAACCTTAGATTATTAAGATAAATACATTAATAAAAGTAGTTATTTCTTTTTTTTTTTTTTCTTTCTATGAAATAATAACAAACCTTCAGATAAAAATTCATTTGTCTTAGCTTGAGGACCACTGAACGACGGATCTTTATCAATATGGAGACTGACAAATACAGTATCAGGGTCGGAGGACATTCTTGAGAGAAGAAAAAGACGAAAATAGATTGAAGGTACAATGAGTTTCTTATAACCAATCTATATATTGCGTTTCGATTTAGCAATAAAAGCAACACAAATACAATATAGAAAACAGACACTCATTATGATTTTGATAACGATCCAATGGCGAGGCAATGACGCGTAGTTGTATGTGATTACGATTTTCTTTTTCTAACTACACATAATTATGACGTACTTGCTAAAAAAGACACTGCATGGGCCTTTTGCTCATCTTGGTGGTTTTCGCGTTTGTTTTTTTCTTCTCGTTCTATTGATTCTATTTTTTTTTTCACAACATAATTTCAAATTATGAGTTTAATGATGTGCAACAACATAGAGGACGGAATGATAACAATAATAATGAGTAAACAAATGTTGTGTTGCGTGCTGCATTAGACATCCAATTTTTCAAGGATTTTTATAATTTAAAACGAGAGAAGTTTAAAAAAAACGATAAAACTATCGAATAAAATCGAGCTCATGAAAGAAATATATAATTTTAGTTGTTGTATAAAGTTTTTTTATTGCCACTCTTATTATCATCATTTAGACTTGAATTTGTCTTTATTTATTGTTTTAATCAAAAATCGTCTATTGATCATTCATTCTTGTCAAATGTATAAACATTAGTGAGAATAAAGACCATTGGTATGCCAACCAATTCTTTGTTTTTATTTTCTTTGTATGTTGACAGTTATCTTTAATCGCTTCAACTCATAAGTCCATTTATACCCACGTACAGTCTTATTTGTTTTTTTTTCTTTTGCTTATTTATACGATATATTTTATTAATAAATTTACTCCCACGATCTTTTTCTTATAGCAATATGAGTAGCATTACTATTGAGTTGCTGATATATTTCTTGAGTAATTGCTGTTGATTAATGAGAGATTGGATTAATTAATGTTATTGTTGATGGTGATATACTATTTGCTTAAATATCTATTAGAGCTGCATCAACTAAGTTACTTGATACTATTTCATCTTCAGATAGATCATCAACAGTTAAGCTAACAGTATAATCCGAAAGAATTTCATCGACGGAATAATCTTCCACGAGAGAATTTGCTTCTTGTTTTCAATTCCTTATGATGTTGTTGTTATTATAATGTCAAGTATATCATAATCAAATTGTTTGCCTTCTTGATCGCCAGACAGAGAAATCAGATGATGATAGCAAGTAGATACCACTGAAAATAGATCTAAAAACAAATGAAAAGAAAAGACAAGCTACAGATATAATGTAGCATTCTTCTACATATTAGTGGAGTACAAACCGAAGAAAAGAGAGCTATGTCAAGACGATAAATAGAATATAAATAATAAAAAATAGAGCAATGTTATGTAAAATATACAGTAGTCTGCAGAAGATCTTCGAAGTATATCTCAGAAAAAAAGCTTGTTAACATAGTCGCCTTCAGACTGAAATGTGTAACTTACATATTTTACTCTAAAGTTTGGAACAAGTGAAATGAAACAAGAAAAGATTTCTTTTTTATTAAAAGTCATTAACATTATTGACAAAAATATCGAATTTCTTTTTTATATCATTTTCAATGTAATTAAAAAATACTAATAGTATTGTTGTTATGGTATGACAAAAAAGAAGAATATACAACAACAGTTAAAATTACTGAACTAATAAAGGATTCTAATGATATTTCTCTGGAATTGAAACAATTACAGATAGATGCTGTAGTGCTAATTATCATAAGTCAAAAAAAAAAAAAAAAAGAATCGACACAATAAAGTGTAACGAAAGAAGAAAAAATTGTTATGTAAATGAAACTCTATCAAATGGAAAATATGAAAAATTACTATGTTGTATACACATGTTATTTCTTAATGACAGGTTATATTGCTATTGCTACATTGATGTGTAAATAATGCTTGGTAATATATAAGTACAGAGTTACTATACATTCAAATTGGTTTAGATATAAATGTTGATTATGTGTTTATTATCAAGAGGATGTTGGTGTGTGGGCAAGGAAAATGCTAACACTCTATACCTACACTCTCTTCATGTTGAATCGGACAACAATCGTCGATTTTTTTGCTATCGTAGCGTTTTTTTAAGTTATGTACCGATATGACAACGAAATTGTTCATTGTCGAACATTGATTTGATCTAAAAGTAACTTAGTATCAATCTTCAAATGATTCATACTTATAATATTTGCTTTCTCTCGATGATTTATTGTTCAAGAAATTAATGAATCTGTTCATAAAAATTCCATTAAGTTCATTTGATTTTTTTGTCATTTTTGTTTGTTTAAAAATACTGATTTCTAGTAAAAATATTTGTTTCAATTTGAAGACGGATTGAGTTCTGTTGAAAGAAGAGATAATATCGTCCATCGTCTTTTTATCTTGAACAATGTCCAATTTATAAATATCGGATGACACCCAATATGTTATCTGATGGTGTAAATAAATTTTTCAGATGTTCTCTGATCGACTCTTTGTTTTCTTCTCATTGTCGAAAAGTTGACTAGTTAGATCGTAGGATTGAGAAGGTTGTGAGTGGAGATTTCATCTTCAACCACACTCACACCCGCTTTCGTCCGAATGAACTAGCATATATATGGTTGACATAGATTCTTGCTGGTCACTATAAGGTCCAGATCGTATCAACAAGATAAATTACTTTTTCAATAATTTTTTGTTGTTGTGATAAATCGTCAGGTATTGGAAAGCATACTGTTACCTTTTTCGCAAGAAATATCTCGCTTAGCTTCAGGCATAACGTATTGGTTCTATGAAAATTAATTGAGTCAACATGAAGTCGAAGCTATCGATTTTATTGATGACGAATAGTAAAAAAAGGCACAGAGAACACAGCAACAATAACAAGAAATTGAAGCAGGAGAAGAAAAGAAAAGAAAATTAAAAAAATGATACACTACTTATCTGTGTGATTTCTTAACGCAAGGTCTTTCGAATGTTTTCTTTTTCAAGGAAATACGATATAAAGAGTGAAGATATTAAGACAAGAGTTCTAGTTATGTGTTTGAGGTATAATAAAAATAGTGCATTGCTGCCTGTTTTCTTCTAATTATCTTATTTTGGTCTGTCAGACACAATCAGTCCATTTTTAGAGAAATTTCTATTAAATCTTCGACTAATGACTCGTGAGATTTCCATTAAAATTGCTGAAATATCCTATGCTGTATGAAAACATCATAGAAGATACATCGATTCTTTTTCAATGACCCTTCTTGTTTGGTCTATTTTCAATTGATGAAAGGTTTTCTGACGTAAATATCGAAATTGAATTTTTTCTCACAGGAACGAAAGGAAATTCAATGATTCTAACTAAAAATAGAAAGAATTTCAATTTGAAATATTGGAACAAAGATTAGCCCAATTCAATGGGCTTACAAGCATTCCTTGGATTGAGATTTGATTTTTAATTCTATGCTAAGACAATTCAGTGTCTCTCTTTAATGATCGTTTCTCGTTCAAGCTAAAAATCTCTTGTTTTAGCATGTCATTACTTATCTCTAAGAGAAGACTAAATATCTATCTTCCAATTTTGATGTAGGATTGTATCACATCTTTTATTGCACTAAGAATCTTGTAAAAAAAAAAAGAAGAAGCTATATATCAATGTTCAAAAGAGAAGAGGGCTCGAAAGCACACCGTAAAGAAGATGCATTCATATAAAAACAACGGCAGATAATGAAAGAGCAGAATTAAAGGTTCGAGATAGTTTAAGAAAAAGGACGAATAATATTGAATCAAAAAAAAAGCAAACAATTATGAAATATGTTAATTGTTTCATTACGACAATCATCTTAAAGAAGTTCTTTGCCATAATAATAAATAATATTCCCAAATAGAAAGTAGTATTTTGTTTTTAAAGAGTATATCGAAACTCAGGATGTCGATCGCCAATTAATTCATTTCCACCATATCTTTCAATTTGTTTTTGTTTTTGATCATCATTGAGTATTTGTCGTCGACGATTAATATAAATAAATACCAAACGAAGAATAATGATGAGTATTGTCTGTAAAGCAACACAACCAAAAGCAATTGTGTTACCTAGAAAATATCTTGGTTTCTGTTTATCTTGATATATTTGGCCTGAAATTGCTCCTCCAATGCTACCAATTGAGACAATAACTGCTGATGCAACAGCACGACGAGTTAATGAGGCACTAGATTATCATCAGTAGACAACAAAAAATTGTATTATGAATACTATTTTTTTAAATTGACTCACAAATTATTATTGAACCATGCAACTTTGACACTGACATTTGCATAGGTACCTGCTGTAAGAAAAATAACACTCATATAGAGAATATTCACACGGTGTTGTTCAATGAACATCAGAAGGAGAAGACCACACATCGAAAAAAGATTGACGAAAATCAAATGAAAAGATCGTTCGACAAAACTAGATAAATAAATATTTTGATTTTTCAATACAAACGACACACAGTTATGGAGAGACTTACTAATCAGAGCTACGTGAAACAATAAGAATTGCAATAAAAGCTGTAATGTATGGTGGAATAGTCATTAATTGTGTTTGAACAATTGTCCATTTGCCCATGGCTTTGATAATAGATGGTAAAAAAAGAGTTACCGCTTGCAATGGAATTGTTCCTGTGATATAAATGATTGAGTAAATATAGATTTTCCAGTCGGTGAATACAGACCAAACTTGTGACCAAGCAAATGAATGATTAATAGAAGCACCTGCATCATTTCTCATACGACGAATTTCAATTTCACGTTCTTTATTACTCAAAAATCGTGCATGTTCAGGTGAATCAGGTAAGAAGAAAAAGCAGCATATAGCTACAATGATTGTCGGAATACCTTCGATCTATTATCATAAGAGACACACACAAATTATGACATTATCTTGTCTGCATAAGAAAATAAACCTACGATAAATATCAGTTGCCATGTTGATAGTGTCGATGATTTTATTTGACCGATACCAAAAGCTAAAAGACCACCGAAAGCACCAGCAAGTGCCGAAAAAGACCAGAAAAAACCGAGTCGAATAGCTTGTTCTTTTCTCGGATACCACAATGACATAAAATAGATTAGACCCGGAAATAGACCAGCTTCGAATGTACCAAGTAGAAATCGACATACGAGAAGGCCAGCAACATTTTTTACAGCTGCTAGACTCGTAGCTACGGCACCTGAAAAATAATCGATCTATGTAAATCGATTACGAACTATTATATTTTATCTACCCCATGCCAACGTTATTAAACTAATCCATCTTGATGGACGCCAACGACGAAGAATTATATTTGATGGAACTTCGAACAAAACATAGCCAAAGAAAAATATCGACAATGACCTTAATTGTAAACTCTACATTCTAGTCCATGAAAAACATCTAAAAATGTTACCATAGATATTGTTCAGAACTCAAATGAATATCTTCTGCAAGACCACCTAATTTAGCATTAGCAATATTCGATCGATCAAGATATGAAAGTAGATAGGTGATTCTAACGAGAAAAAAAATACAGATCATTTAGTTCTTTGGTATAGCCAAAGAATTACATACGAAAGAAGTGGTAGTAAGTGAAAATCGAGTTTGCGTGTTACAATTTTCTCCGCTTTTCGCGTTGCTTCATCATCAAACCAAGATTCTATCATCCCTTGATCTTTTCTACTTGCAACAGTAGAAGACATCGTGTTGTTATAATCGTGCTCGGGTGTTCTATTGGCTTGATGTGTTGTCAATTCTGCCTCATCACGCAAAGACATAGTCGAAATAGAAAACAACGAATTTTGTCGCTTCTTATCTACAATCCTTTGTTCGTTTTCAACATCATCCAAATTGTTCTTCATGCCAAAATGATAAAAGAATATAAATGACAATGTCAAGAAAAATAATTTTTGAGATGAATAAACAGAAGTCAATGAGTTTATATATTTATTTGTTGAAATGTCGATATTAATTTTGAAATGTGAATGACGATCGACGAATAAAAGAAGTCAAGCGTGACGGAATAGAAAGAAGCAAAGATGAGTGAGCCTTTATCAAATAACTTTACCAGCTGTATCGTAGAAAAGGAAAGAAAAAAAATATGGGCATGTATGATGATGTTATCATCAGTATTGCGTCTATTTTCTAATTATTTATTCTTTCCACTTTTCTACTGCAAAGGTTATTCGAAGAGCAAACAGAGTGTTGCACTGGTCTATTCTATCCTTCACTTGATATTCATTTTGAATCAATAATAAATTTACAATAGCAAAAGATTGTCTCGTGAAAAACTTTTGGTAGAGAAGATCATGCACTTTCTTGACTTGAACACCGATTTGATGTCAACTTGTATCGGTGCAATTTTACAAACACACCATTTTCATGCATCATCCTTGAAGACTAAAAGCTTGATGAAAAACTCTATTGGCATAACATGAAAGTTGCTTCGATCAGCCTTTAGTCATCGTTCCACAATAGAACAAGACAACTTTCAGCAAAATATTGATTATATTTGCAGGCTTGACTATTGTATTTGACTGGTATTAAATTATCGAATGTGATAGCGAATCAAAAATTGTCTTTCAGCCTGTTTAACCCTGTGGTATAAATATTTCTTTTTTGGAAAACAAAGTCGAAACAGCTAAATTTCGTAATGTTCCCAGATAAAAACAGTTCAACCAAACATAGAAAAGAAACATTCAGAATTGAGCCTAGCACTTCTCCATAGTATTCATCAAAGATATTCTTCTTTGAAATGTGTCTTGACAATCATTAGCGAATTTCAGTAAAACGAGCTGTTGATCATTACTGTTCCATCTCATGATTCGTAGATATCGATTCCAGAGCTTTTCAAGACGGATATTTTTTATAATAATATACAGCTACTAAATGATTGGAATAGTTGATTTGTTTCCAATAAAATTTCGCATTGTACTTCTTCACGTAACTAACTAGTTATTGACAATCTAGCGCCATTTAAACATTATCATAACTATTTAAAAGATTTGATAGCTATTCAGAAAAAAAAATAGATAGCTATAAAATGATTTGAATAGATTATATTCACTAGTTTTTAAAAATTTTAGGCTTCTAAACTTTTTTTAAATAGCTGATTATTATTTCTTGTAGGTTTAATATAAAAACTTGAACTCGAAAACATTTTAGGGTGTGGGTGTAGGTGTCGTCTTCTGCTTATCCACACGCACACCTACACCTGCACCCACACCAACACCGAACACCCACTCTCCACAGCCACGCCCACATCCTATTTTTAATTTGTTTAAAAAGATAATATTGGTGTATTATGTGCTAAAACTGAATGTTTTATTGGATTAAAAAAAATATTCAAAAAGCTTGAAAATTTGGAAAGCGGACAAATAAAATAGCTCGGCATATGGATGATGCTAATCAACTCAAATAATGTTAGTTAATGCTTGCTATGACATATATTCAAACGTAAAAAATTAATGTAGCACTTGAATCATTTTAAAAATATTGAATGCTAATAAGGTTTGTCTGAATATTTCTTCAGTTGAAGTAGATTCTTTTATATGAACGAATAGTGTTTAACATGAACATTAGACACGTTAGAAATTATGAATGAACGAGCAGGTGCACATCAAGATGCAACAATTCATTGGAAGTAAGGCGTGAGTCTGAGCGTTAATTGTCATTATGGCATGTTCTTCACTTGAATTAAATGTCAAATTCATGTCTACAGCCACGTCCACACTTCCATAACCTCAACCATGATGCCAGTAAAACTGAACATCGATTATTTTAATGAGAAACGCGGTATAAATCTACGCCACCGACTAATTTTTTTATTCTTCGGCAATTGTTGGTTATTATCACCGATCCATAAATGAATCCATGAGCGGTATTCATATTCCACTCGACACGTGAAATTATTGTTGATTGACAAGCGACATGTGTTCTCTATGAACCATTGCCGCGTCACTCGAGGTTCACGTTTCTGTTCTACAGTAGTGATCTGGAAACTAACAACGAAGAATGAGCCACTTGATAAATACTCAAATCGATCAATTAAAATAGCCATTTGTCGGCGAGTATTGACCTCTATGATGAGACGTTCGACGCGTGGAAAAAGTTGAGTCCAATGGAATTTTTCATCATGTGATGGATTGAACAAGTAAGATATTTGCAATGTATGAATATTGACGAGAGGATTAGCTTTGACAGAACAAGAATTCGCCCATGACTCAGTTGCAATAACTTTGAGATGGGTAACTCGATGCATCGATTTATGAATGAGCTCAACAAGTATGTCCAATGACCATTTCATTGTTTCTATATTCAGAAACTCGACCCTAGTCAGATCAACCAGCTGCTTATCAAAGTCTAGAGTCAAGAGCGACAACTTTTTAACGTTTGTATATTGATGTAACGAAGTTTGAAAATTACTTAGCTTGAGTTCAGTAATACGATCGTACAATTTTGCCTGTGCTGCGAATGGTAAAGTCGTTGCTTGTAGCTGCAATGACATGTCTCGATGTGAATAGGCCGTTGAAGAAAACCGAGGAACAGTAAAAAGAGTTAAAGTATGACGATTGTAGGCCACAAACCAGTGTCGATTTTCAATCCAAAAAGGAGTTTGAAATGGTGCAAGTACACTTTCTTCGGCAGGATTTATTGTTGACCATCGTAATGTGAACTGAAAATCGAATCGAACAAGTGCTATTAGCTGCCTACTAATGAATAGTTCCCATCCATCTCCATCAAAAATACTCCTCTCGCCACCAGAGGCCACGATCAGCTCGATTTGTCGAAGAAAAGGCATTTGTGAGAGAAGTTGTTCGAGCGAGCTGCGGGAAGTTGTCGAATCGAAAAAAGAGAAAACAAAAACAACAACAAGATAAGGATCTACATTGATACCTCTTGGAAAAGTAATCTACAATTCTTCAGGATGACATCGAATAATTATCAACTTACTTTGAGCATCGATCGACATGTGCAAGCGAAGAATTCGAAACGGTGGGTTTGCATCACTCTCAATCAATTGATTGACTTCAGCGAAGCTCCAATAAATGACTGAAACATGAACTGAAATAAGATTGGATGCAAGACGAAGAATTCGATAGAGTCGAGCGAATGAACAACGTGCCAATGATAAGTAACGTAAAAAAGGTAATTGAATGTCAGAAAGCAGCATTCCATGATCAGAATAGTCGTCCGGACAAGAGTTGACGATGCATTGTTTTAGTTGAGGAGCGATCCGTTCGAGTGTAATTCGAGACATTGCATCGATTCGGATTGAATCGAGATATTTGAGCTTTTGCAAGTTGGCGAAGGCTGATAAAGAATCGTTATCAATATTGATCAATGTCAGTGCACGAAGATGAGTCCACTGTTCAACGGGAAAGAGCGAAAGAAATAGTTGTGATTGACACGGTGTATCATTGCTATCCGACAGTGTTAGTGAAGCAATTTGATTGGGTCGAATAGAACGACAAACAATATCAAAATGTCGTTTCGAAATGGATTTGAAATGAAGCAAGTAGCTTTTATAGTTAAATAGGACTTTATTAAGATACTCACTGGCGTTTAAAAATGAAAAAAGAATTTCATGAGCCCATAAGAAATCCAAGATAATATAAAGAATTTCAGCAGGTATAATATCCAGAAGAAATGAAGGCATAATTATCTACAATCTCTAGAGTTGTGTACAATCAATAAGTATACCGTGTATGGGCGAAGAAATTGTGCTTATCGTTTGATAAAAGTTAGTGATGATAAGTTATCAAATCATCGAATATTGTGAACGACTTGAACATACTTATAACCATTCCATTTCCTATGAAAGACAAGAGAGAATCAGTTGTAAGTAGCGTACAACGTCAGATGAATGCAGTTATTCTTAAAGCAGACAAGCACGTGCTCATTTCTCGATACGAACGCCTTAGAAAAAAAAATGTAGTCAACATCATTGAATACTCTCCATAGCAGAACAACAATTCCTCCATACATACTTTTCTTCGTCTGACAAGCTCGTACCACTATTTAACGATGAACAAACGAAGGAAAGAGTATGAGTCAGCAACAAGCGACATCTTCGTGTTGAATACAAACAAGAGCTTTTGTAGCATCTACATCGAAAGATTGAGATTGAGAAGAATGCATTGCGATACCACTAGCTTGATGATTAACTAATAGAAAATGCAAAACTTTCTACATGAATTTCAATCCATTTTTCATGGGTTACAACGTGTGTCCGAAAAATAAAAAACAATTATTCATCCATGTGAAAATTTATGATACCTAAATGCGCTTAGACGCTTTATATTTCTTTTTTGGGAAAAAAATTAGCTTGTTCTCGCAGATTTGTACTGCGTCACAATTAGGTTCACATGATAATCAGCTCTTTGGAGAGACACAGAACAAGTATTGTATTTTTTTGAAAGAAGTTAGAAGAGAAGACATTTTATTGTAAATCGACTTATTTTAATCAATGAATTACATTGGCTTATGGATTTATCAAATGCATCTCTGTTTTGATAAAAGAAGTTGTAGTATCATTTAAATGATATGCAAGAAGACAAATGAGAAAAAGAATTTATTTAACCATAGATTGTTAGTTGATGTTAATGTTACTTTCGAAAAGATAAATATTTTAAGACAACTTTAGTTTAAAAAAGTAAAAATTGATAAAATCTCGATTCTTGCAAAAAAAATATTTATCTCT